TATATACATATATATATATATATGTATATATAGAGAGAGAGAGAGAGAGTTCCGTCATGTTCTGTTACCTGCACCAAGCTGTTTATCTATGACGCTCACGCTGTCTATGTGTCCAATGTCGACTTTTGCATGACAGAGCATTTGTCCTTTTTGACAGTCAAGCCCCAGCTAATTTGTAGCCAAATTCGAAGGCAGTGGTGGGATAACAAAGCAGCACAACTAGAATGATTCCAGTGACGTACCTAAACTCTTCAAAGGCACTTTTCATGTTCTGACTGTCCATGTAACGCACCCCTCTCAAAACCCGGTGACCGTCCCAGCAGAAAGCACACCAGTGCATGCAGAGGCTACAAGCAGCAGTTGCGCAAAATCAAAGAAAACAACTGTCTCTCCACAGGGCCGTCTCAGTCAGAAACCTTTCTTGCACGGCTGATTTAGTTGTCTGCTATCTGCTGTCAGTATCACTTACACTACGCACAAGGAGCACGCGCACAATTGGCGCATTGCGTGTTCACAATGTCACCCCCACATAGCGCTGTACATCACCCAAGGCCATCACAAACCATAGAGGTTTTGTAGGCACAACATTCATGACAGGAACATACATCCTTGCCTCCCCTCTCCTCGCGAATTGCCAAGCTAAGCTTGCGAACTGCTTCTACCACCCCTGTCTGTACAAGAAGTGGCACCGAGCGGGAGCAACAAAAAAGTGCACAAGCATAAACACAGCAGGAGCATGTGCCGCCTGCCGCCTCAACCTTCCTAGAACCGAGCCCCCTATAGGCCCATGCCACAGTATGTTTCGGAACGGTGCAAATCAGGCACCTCATGATCTTGGGACACTTACCTGAAGATTTCCTCCGGGAAGACGGCATCAGAGCAAGAGCAGCGAAGCGATCATTGAACTCCAAGCGAAGATCATCGGCTAAGAGTTTCATGCTCCGTTCCTTAGCCAGGCGGAACCGATCCACCACCAGCAACTGCCCAACAAGTTATCCACAAAGAGGGTCGAATAAACCAAATACGCATCGAATAAGCATACAGATGTAAAATCATACAATCATATATATATATATATATATATTACATGCATACGAATACACAAAATATATGTAAGTATCATGGAAAAAAACAAGCACACACACACATATATATACATACATTCAAAAATGCCACCATAAAATATACACGTATATGTATATATGTATCTGATATGAGTGCAATCATAGACACGTTCTTTTACAAATATATATATATATATATATAAATTCATAGGCAAGTCAGCAATATGTGTATATCAGATTTATATACATCTTCTGACTTAAAGGAGTTGATAGTATGATTGTAACCCTTCTCTTTTGGTTACATTGGGGTAGCCAATACAGCATACAGCCCTCTACCCATCTTTGAGTGCGGTAATTAATCGGTAAATATTCGAATTAAATACCCAGAGGATAAGGCACCAAAACCACAAAATGTAACACCCAAAAAATAGAATCCCGAAAAAAAACTTGACTCACGAGTGTGCAGCCCCAAAACCCATAATACCAAGTACCTTCTTGCATCCTATCGCAGAAAAAAACCTCAGCTAAAACAACCAACAAACAACCAATCCAAAGCAAACCAAACTAAACAAAACAAAACACACCAGCATCCACACCCACACACCTACACACACAAACACACGTGCATCCACGCGCTCGAGACGCGTCATCGTCAGAACCACGGCCATCTCCACGAAGCACCTGCAAGCAAGAACGATGGGGCAGGCACTGATACTGGAAAGAAAAACGCCACAAACGAACAAGAATAGGAATCCACCATCAACAACCGAAAAGAGGTGCTCCTAACCAGCCAAAAGCAAACGCAAACACACACACACACACACCCACGCACCCCACTCACCAAAGCACCTCATGGCCACGATGTTGATCGTCATTGCGCAGGACCTGCAAGGACAAGGAAGCAAGGAAGTTAGGCGCGTAGAAAAGCACAAAAGCAAGAAGAGAACATGGAAAAAAAGTCAAACAAGAAAAATCACAGCCCGAAAGAAAAACAAGAACAAAATAGAACAACAAGACGCATGTAAGAAAAACAAACCACAACACCGCTGCACCCAGACCCCAATGACCCTCCCACCTCCATCGCACGTCGCTGCCACGCAAAGAAACCGCTGCCACACACAAGGAAGTTGAGCAAAGGAAGAAATGGCTACGCACAAAGCAGGATCCCTGCTATTTACGACTTGAACTACCAAATTGATCAAAACACCAACTAAATGCAACAACCAAGTCTTAAGTAAATCAGATGTGAAGTCTTTGCCCAACATCAAAACACCAACTAAATGCAACGACCAGTCTTAAGTAAATCAGATGTGAAGTCTTTGCCCAACATCAAAACACCAACTAAATGCAACGACCAAGTCTTAAGTAACTCAGATGTGAAGTCTTTGCCCAACATCAAAACACCAACTAAATGCAACGACCAAGTCTTAAGTAACTCAGATGTGAAGTCTTTTCCCAACATCAAAACACCAACTAAATGCAACGACCAAGTCTTAAGTAACTCAGATGTGAAGTCTTTGCCCAACATCAAAACACCAACTAAATGCAACGACCAAGTCTTAAGTAACTCAGATGTGAAGTCTTTGCCCAACATCAAAACACCAACTAAATGCAACGACCAAGTCTTAGGTAACTCAGATGTGAAGTCTTTGCCCAACATCAAAACACCAACTAAATGCAACGACCAAGTCTTAAGTAACTCAGATGTGAAGTCTTTGCCCAACATCAAAACACCAACTAAATGCAACGACCAAGTCTTAAGTAAATCAGATGTGAAGTCTTTTCCCAACATCAAAACACCAACTAAATGCATCGACCAAGTCTTAAGTAACTCAGATGTGAAGTCTTTGCCCAACATCAAAACACCAACTAAATGCAACGACCAAGTCTTAAGTAACTCAGATGTGAAGTCTTTGCCCAACATCAAAACACCAACTAAATGCAACGACCAAGTCTTAGGTAGCTCAGATGTGAAGTCTTTGCCCAACATCAAAACACCAACTAAATGCAACGACCAAGTCTTAAGTAAATCAGATGTGAAGTCTTTTCCCAACATCAAAACACCAACTAAATGCATCGACCAAGTCTTAAGTAACTCAGATGTGAAGTCTTTGCCCAACATCAAAACACCAACTAAATGCAACGACCAAATCGTAAGTAACTCAGATGTGAAGTCTTTGCCCAACATCAAAACACCAACTAAATGCAACGACCAAGTCTTAGGTAACTCAGATGTGAAGTCTTTGCCCAACATCAAAACACCAACTAAATGCAACGACCAAGTCTTAAGTAAATCAGATGTGAAGTCTTTACCCAACATGCTGAACACCAACTGAATGCAGGATTGAAATAAAATCATGGATCCGAACATGAAAACCAGAAAATCATGCATTTCCTATGCGTTTCACAAAAAGGCACGACTTTTGAAAATCAAGTGCTCCCAAGCTATTTTCAACGATTCCCACTAATCTAGGCACGACTTTAGCAACTCTCTGTACAATCCCCTCCATGTTGCAAAAGGTCGGAGAACCCAAGAGAAGTCAGAAAACTATATTTGTATTTGCTGTGCTGTATTGAGGGAACCCACAATTTTCATGAACGAAGAGCAATTTCAGCAAAACGTCAACTTTGGGAAGTATTGTGCGACTGAATATTCGGTGTTCCATGTGATTAGGCAACGATATTTGAAGAAAGGTTGAGCTCTCGCAACGAAGAAAACAATAGCGTAATTTTAATCATGGTTAATCAGAATATATAATGTATTGAAATATATTTCCCGAAATAGATATATAGAACACCTTTTTGATTATTTGACTATCTTAACAGCAGCCCAGATACAGTATTAATTTCTTTAATTTAATATTAGGGGAAAGCTTCGAAATCCAATTTTTGTCAATATTTTAATTAGATTTTAAAAGGAAATCAAATCGATTTTGAAATAGACAAAAAATATTATAGTTTTATTAGGGTGTTTAATTTAGTAGTAGGGGGAAGCTTCGCACCCTAATAATAAAAACAACCTGATGTGTCTATTATTTGGGGGGTCAGTATTAGGGGGAAGGGATTAAATTATATATATGTGATATATGTGCCAAAAACTGACTCCAAGGTGAACTTACTGAAAGTCGAGCCGCTACTGCTGTTTGCTCTCGTTCTGATGCATTAGTGATCTGGTCTCAATATTTCTGATTGGTATCGTGTCGAGTCACAAGATCTCTTCAGAGTGCCTCTGACTGCTCCCCGCTAAATATATATATATATATATCAAAACTTCATCATTTACCTCCCGCTGTCTCAGGGCATGGTTCTCTAATGTGGATGTCCAGAACTGAATACAGAATAGGAGAACATGGTGAGTCAAGCAACACTTTGCACTTCATGAATTCGGTCAGATTGAGAAAGCCCCGCACCGGCAGCCACGGAAAAAGGATCCACTTCCGCAGGTTCCCAGTCTTTTGGAAGTGGTGTGATGCATTTGCTTGTCTATGCTGATCTCTGTTGAATGTCCATCTCACCACTAAAATCCATCAAAATCCATTGAGGCGGCGTGATAGAATGTGTCAAGACATGACAAACAATATGGTGCTGACATGTGCTGACTGTTGACTATTGATGTGGGCTGATATAATCACAAGCCTATGGTTTTTGTGAGCAGAACTGATGCCCAAACAATATCTCATGAATCTCTTGAGCCCTGTCTCATAGACGTTCGCGAGTGCAGACGTGGCCGTTTCATGATTTGAATGGACAGGGTGTGTTTCGGGTTTTTTCGGCAGCCCAGCGTTTTGATGGAATAAATAGTACTTCAGGACTTCAGCGCATTCGCGATTTGGCTGGACGTGGAACTGAATGGAAAAATGTGGAAAATGTATTCACCTGTCAACGACATCAGCCTTTTTGACAACAGCATCGCTGCATCAATCAGCATGAGATGTCAGCTCGAATCGAATGCCATGATGTCTGTAATCTAGGCTGTTGAAGTTGCAGTTGGTAATTACGCAAATGATACAAACATTCCTGCCTGTCATCGAATACTCGTTACCAACAAATATCTCGTCAGACTGAGCTGGGTTGGCTCTCGGCAGGGAGTTGGATGATATCAACGGCTTCAGGAAGAGTAGTTCAACGTGTAGAAAGGCAATCCGGCCTCGGCTGCAAAAGGTGAACCCGCCCAAGGACTGTCAAGACGCGCGAGATTGACGCAATCTTTTACCACATTCTGTTGTACCGGTTTTCCCATGTTCTACCAAGCTCCATTGGACTCCATTGTAATATCAATTCACAATTCAATGTAGAATATACAAAATCACAGACCGCATCGATAGGGTAGGGATGGGGGGGTCTTCAAGCGGGGGGGGGTCTTTGACGAACCCTGTGGCCCAATCCCCCCCAGCGGCCAGTCAAGTGAGGGCGGAAGGGGTTCTTGTTGTTGTTGCGGGTGTTGTTGTTGCAGTTGTACTTCTTCTTGTGGTTGTGGTTTTGGGTGCGGTTGTGTGTGTGGTTGGGGGGGCATGGCGGGTTGGTTTCGTTGGTGCAGCGGCATAGGGGGTTCGTCGGTCGGAAAGAGGTACGGACGATCGAGAGGCAGACATGCACGAAGCATCGCGGCGCCTGCAGAGGGTCAGCCGACGCGCTAGATCCTCTTTTTCTTCTTCTTTGTGGTTTTCTCCTTCCTGTTGTTATTGTTACGTCGTTGCTGTTGCTGTGCTGTTGCTGCAATGGAACGCTTTGCGGGGGGAGGCGCCCCTCTCCTCCTCCTCCTTCTCCTCCTCCTCCTGCTCCTCGTCCTCCTCCTCATGTCTGTTCGCTGGTGACGTCTTTGTCTTATTCTTCTTCTTCTTCTTCCTCTGCCGCTGCGAAGGGTGTATGCGACACCATCTCACATCCCTAAGGCAACATCAGCCGCAAAGGGCAGAAGATCCCCTTCCCTCCTAAAGAGCCCCCCCCTCCGAACAAGAACCCCTGATCCCCCCCCTTCTAAAGAAGACCCCCCTCCCCCCTTAAGAAGATCCCCCCTCCCCCCTTAAGAAGATCCCCCACCTTCTAAAGAAGACCCCCTTAAGAAGATCCCCCCCTTCTAAAGAAGACCCCCTTCCCCCCTTCAGATCATATATTAACCTATTTATATATATATATATATTTATTTATATTTATGTATATATATATATATTAATTATATGTAATATTATATAATATAATTATACGATTTCAAAAAATAGTATAAACTGCATCTAAATATCTCCTGTAACATCAGCCATCTGAACAACGTAACAGCGCATATCAACACAATATCAACACATTGACAAAGTGCTGTTACAACATGTTACTCTCCGCGTCTTTTTTGCACTCGGTGCGTTTCAGCTCTTCCAGCTGCCGTCGCACCACAAATGCATCTCCAGTCCTTGGCCCATCTTGGCCCCATTGGTCCATGGTCCCATCATGCAACGATATGATGATATGTAGCGTCGACTGTAGCGTTCAAAAATCTTCAAACATGTGCAGATGTGTTCAGAATATCAGCACTCAATTGACTCAACTGTGGAAGCTCGTATTCAAGAAGATTTTAATATCTATCAGTAGCATTGTGAGCTACTAGAAACGCTCTGAGCAGGGTGCTTGTTAGATGTTCTTGGTCTTGCTTTTCGGGATTTCTAGCTCCCCCCCAAAAAAAACACTGTCAGGATGCCATGATCTGAACAAGGCACAAGAAACGGATGAAGTTGTCACCCCGCAGAGGCCCCAAGGCCTTGCAGGCACACAAGAATTCCAGAGATAAACGCGCACTGGGAACTCCAACAGACTAGTGCTAGAACAGTATAGAAAAGTGCAGCGAGTATGATGTGGTTAAGATCATCTTGCACTTTTTAATTAAGAGCGATGCAAGAGCGGTCAGGATATACACAGATCCACCTTCAAGACCTTGCCACATTCCGAGTCGCACTACCACATGATGTCACATTGGCCCAAATCAATGTGTATGGCCCATGCCCATGCTGGAATAAAGGGCAAGAGCTGATGGCAAGACGGAGGAACAATGGGTTTCATGCTCCAAGTCCTATCATGGAAAAGCAACTTATCATATCTTATCATCAAGTACAGTAAGCCGAGAAAGCTTCGAAGCATCCCTGTCCGGCCCTGTCCATCTATGTTCTGCTTTTCTTGCCAAGCCACAAACACATTTTGCCGCAGTACCTCCACTACTTCATGAGATGACAAGAGGCCCGACCAGTGTACGTGGTTGCGATTTGCACAGCTAAAAAACATCACATTGAATCGCATATTGATGACTGAAAATCTGAATATTGAATGAGACGACAAAAAGGATAGCTTCGTGGTTAAATGATGTTGAATGCAGACTTGCTACTGTATCTTGAATCTTGACTGAAGCGAAGGAGTTCATACAAACCATGGGGCCTGTCGCATAAGACTTTCAATCTTACCGTAAACAAAATCAGGGAGTAGTTATTACTTCACAAATCTTCATGTCTGTTCAACACGGTGCAACAATATTGCTTCAACACATCACCATTGTATGTGGGAAACATCGACGGAGCTGCCTCACTGCTGGAACATGTAAAGTGTTTTCGGAAAGTATTCTGTTTTTTGGACTTACTGGCAAGTCGGTGCGAGGGCTGGTCAACGCGCATTTTGTGAAATTGAATGAGTGTTGCTCAAGCAGACTCATGTCGGCTGCTTTGAAACCTTTCCAACACGACTTTGAAGTCTGCTTCGATATCAAACACTGCTGCCTCAAGTATTGCTGCGCGTCGCACAGCAAAATCCAAGTATGGTGCCTTTCTACAAGCAGCATGCCACAGCATGCCCACAGTCTTGCCCCACCTGGCCAGTCTTGGCATCTGCGAGCTGCAATGTTTCTGGAATCACCTCCAAGAAATAAGGGTGGCTACTTGGCTGACCATCCTCGGAGCAGCCGGGTTCATTCCTTTTAGCAGTTTTGGAATGTTTGGGATGTTTTGGATGATTTTGATTCAACAAGGGTCACTGAGGTCATGAAGTGATTTGGGCCGGATTGAATAACCCAAGACTCTGCCGGTGCGGACATATGAGAGAGGCTGAAATATCAGAAAAAAAAAGAAAAAAACGCAAACTATCTGCTGTCCTGCTCAGAAAATGCATGGTGAAATGCGACCAAGTGTCTGTGCGCGTCCGGGGCAGATAAGGCTCAGGTCGCTGGGCTTTTCGCAGTGAAGAAGGCAAGAAGTGCAAGGAAGGGCCAGCACCCAAGAGCAAAGCCACAACCGATACCTCACTGTCAAACTCTTGTGGAGACATGTGCGGGCGAAACTCAATTGTTCACTTCGCTCTTCGGAACCATTTCTAGTTTTCATTGGGGAGACGTTGTGGTGCACCCTAAAAGTTTCCAAAAACATCAAGCAGTTTGGATTGTCCAGGTTCGAAGCATTGTTTCCCGAAAAGTCCAACGTTGATGCCACTCGCTGAGCAAGTTTTTCATTGTTCAATGCATGTGGTTTCATGCATATTGTTTCTTGTGCCTTCTGATGAGGTGCACCCCTAGTCTTTGATGTTGGGTTTTACTGATTGTTCTGTTCAAACCTGCACACAAGATCACACAAACATCTAACATGTCAACTGTCAAACTACTGCAATAGTCTGAAAGCGTGGTAGTTTAGCAGCGAGGGATACGAACAGATCGGCTCAACTGGTGCAGCTTCAACTGGAGGGAGGTGGCATTTTCAGAATCGGCCCCCTTTAAAGTTCATTCAAAGCTCCCCTGGCCCTATTCAAAGGGATGCTATTCAACTTTGCACCTTTTGCAGTAATTATTTTGCACCTTTTGCAGTTCAGCCCAGCATTCTCCAGATGCACCGTTTCGACCAACCTGGGCCCAACCCGCGCCCATTTGGCACCAACGTGGCCCCAACTTGGATCGCAAATTGGCCCAAGCTGGGCCCTTGGGAGCAACATGGCTTCAACATGAGAGTCATGGCCGGCCCAATCCGAAATCTGAAATCCTCAAAACACCCGTTTTCACAGGCATTTCCTACGTTTTTTGGTATCAATGACACGTCACACTGGGCAATTTTCCCATGTTGTGTCTCCGCTGGGCCGCACTTTGAGCTAAGCTGACGCCAAAGGGCCCCAAGTGGTCCCAAGTTTCCCCTTGTTGGTGCGACGCGCTGAAAACTTGGGTTGTGTTGGGCCCAATTTCGGCGCCAGATGCCCTCTACACAGGGCCAAGTTGCGCATGTTAGGCCCGGCGCAAGTTACGCCCACGTTGGGCCCAAGTCGGCTCAACTTAAGTCAAGAACGGGCAAGTTTGACGCCAGTCGGCTTTTGGTTGGGCCAAGTAGGCCCGCTTCTTTCCTCTCTATTATTCCCTGGGTGCGGGCGATACTCGTCTCGAAGCGACTCGAATATCGGAGGTTTGGCGGGCCTCTTCAACACGTTCTTGGCCTTCGTTGGTCTTGATGATACAAGTGCCATCCTCCAAGATTTCTTGCAGCTGCGCTTCAGCCTCCCGCAGCCAAACTGCGGGGAAACATGTGCAAAAAGAAACACAATGAAACGACACTGAATTACAAACTAATTACATCTATAGCTATCTAGCTACTAATGTTACATGGCTGTTTCCTTGGTGGTAGACTACGAGTACGAACAAGGAAACAAGCAAACATGTAGTACAATTTGAAAGAAACAACAAAACAACCGAAGAATATAAATTATATATGCCTATCAAATCTTGGGAGAGCTCCTACAAGTTGTCAATCGTCATACTCAACGTTTGGTTGCACTGCTAGGGCTTGAACCGTCATGTATTGTTTGACAGCTAATAATCGGTCTTGTCATGGGATCACCTGCGAACACAGTCAATGCCACATAGTTGTCATATATAATAATCAATGACAATTAATTATAGTTATCACATGTTATCACAATAATTATCACACTAGACAATAGCTATTCATGTTCACCCTCAGAGCACCTTGGCCGTGTAGCGGGGATCTGAGACACTTCCTTGCATCATCTTTGCAAGCCACTCTTCATCACGGTACATGGAGGCCAAACTTGTCTGGCCGAACCTGAGCGCCAAGCCATAGCAGCCATAGCAAACTACAAAAACAAATCAGATCAAGTCAGTGGAGGAATCATGAACCGGTAACACATGGTAAACCTTGTAAAGTTCAAGACTTTTTTATCAACTCTTGAGCCATCCATGATCCTCGGACTGACCTTCTTTTACGGCATGAGTATATATAATCTATAATGTTGGCTCCTGATTAGTGTGGTGGTACACTATTTTGTCCCCAGACTCCAAAATAATTGTAAATCTGTGGAATTGTTTGGGTGGTTCGGTATTGTGTCCCCAGGATTTTGGGGTAAGTTTTTCATAGTTTTTGTATTTTTTATTTCGTGATATTTTTAAATTGTTTTATTTTTCATTTTTTGTTTAATTTGTTTCAATTTTTGAAAGTTTAATTCTAAAAAAACATGTTTTATTTCCCACCTGCCAGGTGAGGGTTGTTAGATTTTATCAGAGTTGTTCTTCTCCTTCTCCTTCTTCTCCTCCTCTTCCTTCTCCTCCACCTCCTCCTCGTCCTCCTCCTTCTCCTCCACCACCACTTCCATGTTCACTTCCGCCTTGCCAACTCTTCGCCAAGCTCTTGCCTTCTGCAGGATGACCGCCAGCTGATTCATGGGCAGCAGCGGCCCCGGCGTCTTGGAGCGGAGGCGCTTGACCGGGCGCCAGGCGGCGGCGGCGGCAGGGTCGTTCTCCTGCCAAAGCCATGCAGATGACATGTGGCGACAATGCAGTCTGACATGTTCGTTGATATTCTATATCTGGCATTCTATTGAGTGTGCTATTTTGGTATTCGATTTTTTGAAAGATTCTTAAGTTCTGCATGCTTTGCATTTTTTAAAGATATTTTCTTCGATCTTCGGCCCCTTTTGTAGATAATGTGGGTTGCAGCAGCGGGTCCTGTTCCGATGCTGTGCTTGAATTCTCCGTGGTGACCCAGTCAACGGTGGCGTCCGTAGAGCTTTCCTGCCAAACGGCACGGGCTTACATGGTAGGCCCGCGAGAGAAAGGACATGGCTTCTAAGTAGCAAGTGGGGTTCTTATCTTGGATCAAGTACATGAACTAATCATAATCCGCTGTTGTTTTCACGGCGTGTGCACGTCAGGGGTCGTTCTTACCTAGTGCCGGGGTGTCTCTTTCACATGATATTTTGCTAGCCTTCAAAAACAGAATGAATGAAGTTTCGGGGCCCCACATGCTGGCCTCGGAATCAGGTGGAATCATCTCCGCCTCCTGCTCCGCCTGGCGTGCTTTTCGCACGGCGCGCCCTTGCCGCTCTAGCACCGCATCGTAGGTGTAGAGGGCATGCTGCTCCAAGACTTTCCTGTGTCAGATACCCCTGTATCAAAGACATGTCAAATCTTGCATTATGTGACAAATGTGACAAATCTACCCTGGAAGACACACGCACACGACATTCATCATTGGCGCTGCCTCTTCTTGCAAAGCCCCACTTGGTGGATGGTTTTGAGATAGAATACATGTAAATTACTTATGGCACTTGACCTACTTACACAACTTACAAGTTAATTTCGGAAACTTATTTTTTCAATTGTAGCTCTAAGTAACATAAGTTAAATATAAGTAACTTGCAAGTTTTTAAGTTATTTTAAGTTATTTTGAACATGAAAAGAAAGGTATTTTAGCAGTTTTTTCTTCATCATTGCGTTTTGCATTTTTATTTTTTGTGTTGAAGAAACCTTTGTTTCGTAAGTTTTCTTCGAATTCTTTGCTGCACTTGAAAATTTGGTGATGTTTCTAAACTTTGGGTTGGACAATCTTAATTTGGAAAAAAATAAAATGAGAGAGTTGCTGCCCAAAGGGCAGCAGGATAGAACATCCACGGATGACCAAAGGCGTGCGACGTGGCATTCAAATTCGGTTTGGTTTCATGGTTCATGGTTCAGAACAGGAGTTGTCGGTAGCCGCTACTTCCCTTGATGAAACATAAATCCCAACAATATGTTTTTGATTGACCAGAGAATTATATCGGTATGCGATCCAGTGGGCCGCACTTTTGAATCAATAGACATGCTTATCACGCGTAAGTTCATTGCAAGAAATGCAAGAAGATATGCAGTCCATTGGACCGCAGTCATTTTGAAGGATTGAAAAGCATATCATATGATGTCATTGTACGAAAGCATGAACCAAAAAGACTACAATATTATACCTGAATGCGTATGGATGGATGTGTATGGATGTGTAAGGATGTGTAAGAATGTGTAAGTCAAAAAAATCACTTACACATGTGTAAACCAAAAAATCCACTTACACAGATGTGTAAAAATGTGTAAAAATGTGTAAACATTTGTTTTGTATTTTGTGTTTTTTTGAAAAAATATGATATGCTGAACCAAAACTGAACATGAACATGAAACAAATATAATCATCCATTTTGAACATTTCCACTTCCACTAAAACATCATTCCGTCACTAAAGGCGGTCCAATGGACCGCCAACATGTTGGAAAAACATGTGCAGCTGCTTTGTGTTTCTTCATGTAGCCCCAAAAATGTATAAATACCATTGAAGTACAGGCGGTCCAATGGACCGCCATAACCTCCAATTCTATTGAAAAGGCTTTATACACACTTCACAGGGGCTGTGGCCTCATGATCTTTCCAAGAGCCCAAACGCTTTTTACTTCGTATCCATTCTGTTGCCCAAACGAGAAGAAGATAACATATCAACAAAAAGACTCAGCATCACAGAACATTTCCCGATAGGCTTCTCATAGAGCCGCCTTCCGACAAAAATAATTATCAAATATAAATAAAAAAAATATTGGTTTAATTCGTTTCCAACCCAAACCTTGTTTTTTGTATGTTTTTATTCAAACACAAAAAATAATAGCTTTTAAAAACCAAACAAGTTAAGTTTCCTAAGTTACTTATAAGTTATTTAAGTTGTTTTTTGGTTAACTCAAAAAACTTTAAAAAAACTTACTATCTAGTTTATCTTTGGTAACTACTTACAACTACCGTAAAATAAGATAAAAACTTAGCTTACTTAGCTTAGATACAACAGGGTTGTAACTACCTTACAACTAGATTACATGTTACTTGCAAGTGCTGTAAATCAAAACCATCCACCAAGCAACTTCTTGAACTCCCGAATGACCTTCTTGGCCGTTTTGTTTGGCCTGTCAATGTCAACAAACAGGCTTGCGCAACATTACCCCATGAAACTGCACGGCTCAGCATGTTCTTGACATCTGTTTGAATGCGGCTCAAAAAAAAACACTGCGTTTACCAGCCTGCACTGGCTGAGCGCCGCCTCGTCGTCATGCAGGAGGGCTGTTAAGGCTTTGCTCGACAGCTTCTGCAAGTCCAACTTTGGGACCGCAGGTGCTGGAGCCTCTTCTCCCATGCCCAACAGGCCCTCCACAAAGCCCCGGCCCACGTGCACGATGTGCCTTAGTGCCACGAAGGGCGAAATGAAACCACAGGCTAAAATTGTGAGAAAGGTGAAAGCAACCGTGCATGTTTCCTGGTATGATATGGGCAAGGCGCTTTTCACCGTTGGGCTCAGCATCGGAGGCCTGCGGGAACAGGCTAGGCATGCAATTTGCACGAATTTGAAAGATTGATGCATGTGCGACACAAAGGCGGCTGCCCCACACCACAATCAGAACCATGTATGTCACTAAAGGTTTTGCATTGCCCGTACACACGCACACACACACACATTTATTTTCATATCTATCTGCCTCTCTATCTGGCTATCTACCCATAAATCCTTATTTTTATCTATCTATCTATCTATCTATCTCTCTATCTATCTGCCTTTCTTTCCATAAATCTTTCTTTTTATCTACCTATCTTTCTGTCTGTCTGTCTGCCTGTCGGTCTGTCTGTCTGGCTGCCTCTCCACCTGTCTGCTTGTCTGTCGGTCTGTGTGCGTGGAATGTGCACCCGGGAAAGTCAGTTTAGATACAAGAACAAAAATGGCAAACCAAAACACCCACAGCAATCACATGAGCAAGCGAAAAACAGACAACAAGGAAGAGGTTACCGGAAGGCGAAAGACTTACATACATGTTATTCGACTTCCCTTGCGGCAACCTTACTTAAGCTACATCTCCCACCTCGTCTGTCTCCGAATCATCCAACATGGTAGTGGCCGGTGTTGCAGGCGCTGGCTCATCCTCCGGCACACAGGTAACAATTTGAATACTTGAAGAATCAACACCGTGAACTAAAGCGGTATAAGCAAGCAACATACTTGAAGCTGCTCGGCGTGATCGACGGTCCTGCGCCTCCAGCTCGTAGGCCATGCGCTCGGCATCCTGCAATGCGCAAATAGCAGCCAACGGAAAAGGGTCTTAAGGCTATTCGTGGAAAGATAACAGAAAAAATATATGTATGTATGTAGATATATATATATATTTGTTTTTTTAATTAATTAATTTATTTATTATGTTACAAGTGCAATATACATATACATATATATATGTATATAGTACGTATGTATGTATGTATGTATGCATGTATGTATGTTTGTATGTATGTATGTATGTATGTATGTATGTAATTGTATGTAATTGTATGCAATTGTATGTATGTATGTAATTGTATGTATGTGAGAATGTATGAATGTATGTATGTATGTCTGTCTGTCTGTCTGTCTGCATGTATGTATGTATGTAATTGTATGTATGTATGAATGTATGAATGTATGAATGTATGAATGTATGCATGTATGCATGTGTGAATGTATGAATGTATGAATGCATGAATGTATGAATGTATGAATGTATGAATGTATCTATGTATGAATGTATGAATGTATGATGTATGTATGTATGTATGTATGCATGTATGTATGCATGCATGCATGCATGTATGTGTGTATGTATGTATGTATGTATGTAAGTATGTATGTATGTATGTATGTATGTATGTATGTATGTATGTATGTATATGTGTGTGTGTATGTATGTATGTACGTATGTATGTATGTATGTAGGTATGTAGGTATGTAGGTATGTAGGTATGTAGATAGGTAGGTAGGTAGGTATGTATGTACGTGGCTGTAAATGTGTGTGCATATATTTTTTGTTTGCGCCCTTGGCGACAACTGCTTGCAGCCATGAACGGGAAATTTCGAGGTAAGGCACGAATCGAGACAGCAAATGGCGGCCTGAAGCTCGCGCTTCTCAAATTCCTCTTGCAGCTCGCGAAGGAACTGCTCGCCAAACTCGTCCATGTCCTGGCACCGGGTAAGGAGTAAAACTTGCATTGCGCTGTACTTGCCACAATGCATCACCGTCCTGCACGGGTGCCGCTGGCGCCTGAAGCAGGAAGGCAACAAAATAAAAGAATGAACGGACAGCTGAGGAGTAGCTTGCAACCGAACAATCGCACACGCGCATTGCGAGGACCGGGGCAGCTAAGTCTCTAACATTGCTTGGACTTGGACGGTTGCCAGCGCACCTTGGAGCAGAACATGTGAAGGCTTTGCAAACAAACATGCCACACCACGGCACTGTAGGTGTTTTTGCTTGTTAATGCGTTGAACGTTTCATGGCAGCCAGCAAACCCTATGCATTGCACAGGGTTCACACCGGCGCGATACGATAAGGCCTGCACCTGTCTTCCCAGGCCTGGATCAGCTGCCTGCAAACAAGAGAATAGAACATGACACCGCGCTGTATTTCTGCGGATGTGGTATATGTCTTTGAACCTTAAGAAAAACCTCTCTAGCTGACTGAGGCTGGCGCGGGACTGTGCCAACAGGGGCCTAGACTAGACAGACGTCCACGGAAAGTTGAGACCGTAAGACCCGCTAGGGCAAAGGCCCCTGCACTGACTGAGCTCGCGGCTCCGTTGCCCTCTTTGGCATGCTGCTGCTTATTTCTGTCCTGGGTTGCTGGGGCTGGGGTACTCAATTAAAATGAAACTCGTTATGACCACGCACAGCATCAAGGAGAATGAAAGCAAACGCACATTCTTTGCCCATGAAATGGAAATATTCCGCACCTTGTTGGACAGGAAATGGTTGGGGCGCACTGCTGGACCTCAACTGCAAGGGTCTGAGCGCACTGGGCACCGCTGGACCTCAACCTGGGACCTTCCGAGCTCAGTGAGCACCGCTGGACCTCAACCTGGGACCGTCCGAGCTCAGTGAGCACCGCTGGACCTCAACCTGGGACCCCCCGAGCTCAGTGAGCACCGCTGGACCTCAACCTGGGACCCTCCGAGCTCAGTGAGCACCGCTGGCCCTCAACGGCCAGGTAGAATGCCAGAAGATATGCCAGATATAACACCAGATAGAATGTCAGAAAGAATGCCAGAAGATATGCCAGATAAAGTGCCAAAATGTTTGCCAGATAGAATGCCAGAAGATATGCCAGATAGAATGCCAGAAGGTATGCCAGATAGAATGTCAGATAGAATGCCAGAAGGTATGCCAGATAAAGTGCCAGAATGTTTGCCAGATAGAACGCCAGAAGATTTGCCAGATAGAATGCCAGATAGAATGTCAGAAGATATGCCAGATAGAGTGCCAGAAGATATGCCAGAACATATTGCAGAAGGTATGCCAGGTAGAATGCCATAAGATATGCCAGATAGAATGCCAGAAGATATGCCAGATAAAATGCCAGAAGATATGACAGATAGAATGCCAGAAGATTTGCCAGTAACAAAACGTATAGATGTCACGGTGGGGATAACTCGAAGTAAAGTATGTTTTAAAAACAATTCATTTTTTATTTCTCAGTTTTTTGAAAATTATTCTTATTATTCGTGTAGTTAAAAAAACGTTTTTTCATGAGCAATATTGATGCTAAATAATGTGTTTGTTGTGTGTGGGGGGTCCACTATTGTGTCCAGCTGCTTCCTGATGCTGATGTGATTTTTTCTTTTTCCAAGCATTCCCTTTACCTTTTCCTGTGCTAACGTTTTTTCTTTTACTTTCTTAGTTTCTTTCACTTGATCCTCTGATCCACAATAGTATGTTTGTTTGGGGGTCCACTATTGTGTCCAGTTGCTTCCTGGGGTGATGTTTTTTTCAAACATTCCCTTTACCTTTTCCTTTGCTAAAGTTTTTTCTTTTAATTAATTATGTTCTTAATTTCTTTCATTTGAAATTCTCACAAATGCGCAATTTCCAAAAATATGTGATGCCTTATTAAACCACCAACAAAAAACAGCATCCAAACAATTTTTCAAGGGGGTAGTCCATGAGCAACCCTGATCCACAATAGTATGTTTGTTTTGGGGGTCCACCATTGTGTCCAGCTGCTTCCTGGGGCGTAATTTTTTCAAACATTCCCTTTACCTTTTCCTTTGCTAAAGGTTTGATTTTCTTTTACTTCCTTAGTTCCTTTCACTTGAAATTCTCAGAACTGTCCAATTGCCAACAAACAAATTGATGCCTTATTAAAGCCCAATAAAAAAAACATCATTCAAACAATTTTTCAAGGGGGTAGTCCATGAGCAACCCTGATCCACAATAGTATGTTTGTTTTGGGGGTCCACTATTGTGTCGAGCTGCTTCCTGAAGCGATTTTTTTCAAACATTCCCTTTACCTTTTCCTTTGCTAAAGCTTTTTTTAATTAGTTGCTTTCTCAATTTCTTTCATTTTGAAATTCTCACAAATGCCCAATTTCCAAAAATATATGATGCCTTATTAAAACCCAAGCAAAAAAAAGCATCCAAACAATTTTTCAAGGGGGTAGTCCATCAGCAACCCTGATCCACAATAGTATGTTTGTTTTGGGGGTCCACCATTGTGTCCAGCTGCTTCCTGGGGCGTATTTTTTTCAAACATTCCCTTTCCCTTTTCCTTTGCCAAAGCTTTTTTTCTTTTACTCTCTTAGTTTCTTTCACTTGAAATTCTCACAAATGCGCAATTTCCAAAAATATGTGATGCCTTATTAAACCACCAACAAAAAACAGCATCCAAACAATTTTTCAAGGGGGTAGTCCATGAGCAACCCTGATCCACAATAGCATGTTTGTTTTGGGGGTCCACCATTGTGTCCAGCTACTTCCTGAGGTGATTATTTTCAAACATTCCCTTTACCTTTTCCTTTGCTAAAGCTTTTTTCTTTTATGGTATTTCTATGGAAATACCATTGGATTTCTATGGGTTTCCTGTGGGATTTACATGATGTTTCTATGATATTTTTGGAGGGTTTCTATGGGATTTCTGAAGGGATGCTATGGGAGCTCTATGGTATTCTTATCGGATTTCCATTGGATTCCTATGGGATTTGTATGGTATTTTCATGATGTTTCTATGATACTTCTGTGGGGGTTCTATTGGATTCCTGTGGGGGTTCTATTGGATTCCTGTGGGATTTCCATGATGTTTCTATGATATGTCTATGGGATTTCTGTGGGATTCCTATGAGATTTAAACATGATTTCTGTGGTACTTCTACGATCTTTCTAGATGATTTCTTTGGGATTTCATGAGGTTTCTTTGGAATTTCTACGGTGGTTCTAAGATATTTCTATGGGGTTTCTATTGGGTTCCTATGGGATTCCCATGAAATTTCTATGATATTTCTTTGGGACTACTATTTGATTTCTATGGGATGTCGATGGTATTTCCATGGGATTCCTATGGGGTTTCAAAAGGATGTCTATGGGATTGCTATGGGTTTCCTATGGGATTTCCATGATGTTTCTATGATATTTCTGGAGGATTTCTATGGGATTTCTGACGGGGATGCTATGAGAGTTCTATGGTATTCTTATTGGTTTTCCATTGGATTCCTATGGGATTTCTATGGTATTTTCATGATGTTTCTATGATACTTCTGCGCGGGTTCTATTGGATTCCTGTGGGGTTTCTATTGGATTCCTGTGGGATTTCCAAGGTATTTCCCTGATGTTTCTATGATATTTCTATGAGATTACTATGGGAATTCTTATGGGATTTCTTTGCGGTTCCTATATTTCCTATGCTATTTCCATGTTATTTCTATGATCTTTCTATGGAATTTCTGTAGGGTTCCTATGGGATTCCCGTGATATTTCTATGATATGTCTATGGGATTACTATGGGCTGTCAATTGAAAGTAAGTTGAAGTCAATTGAAAATAAATTCAAACTAAATTGAAATCAATTGAACATAAATTGAAAGTAAGTTGGCATGAATTGAAAATCAATTGAATGTAACTTGAAATCAGTTGGAAATCAATTGAAAGTAAATTGAAATCAATTAAAAATAAATTGAAAGTAAATTGAAATCAATAAGTAAATTGAAATCAAAAGAAAGTAAATTGAAATCCATTGGAAGTAAATTGACATCAATTGAAAATCAATTGAAATCAGTTGAAAGTCATTTGAAAGTAAATTGAAATCAATTGAAATCTATCATTTTTTTTGTTCCACACTATTCAGAATCTTGATCCTTGAATTCTTTACGCTATTGAGTATCCAAAATTAGTTTGGGGGGGCCGACACTAATCAGGATCCAACATTATATAATTATAAATGATACATTTGTACATCTTCCTACATAATGACCTCCATATTGATGCATATTGATGGCTATGGGCAAGTTGCGATCTATCTGTCGTTATTGCCGCAGAACGAACCACCCAACCACCCGAGATCCGCTCCGAAGCTTGCGCTTAAGAAACATTTTGCCAATCTTTGTGTCTGCAGCTTTCCCACGAAACCTCAAAAAACAAGCCCAAGACAAACAAGAATCAACATGGCGTCCCTACCAATTAATCTTAATCGGTCCACAATGCCTGCAGTGTACAAATTGCACCTTTCGAGAGGAACAAAAGTCATGAAAAGTCAATGACAAATGATATCCATACTTTCTTTGCCTTTTTGCAGCTGCAAAACATGCTCCATATCTGACAAGACACACATGCGTCACTCGCACGTTGACGCCCTCGGCACTTAGGCCCAACGCGTGTAGTATGGCATCCGCTGCACTGAGGCCAGCGCCTCCAAAACGCGATAACAATAAGGTGGACAGCATCTCATAATATTCAAGTCAATTTTGGTGGGAAGTTGAAGAAAGCGAACGCTGGAGTCCCCAACTTGCTTCAACCCGTGACACGGGCCTACAACAAGTAGGTGCCCGATCTTTGCCAAAAGCTCCTCCAGCAGCGTGAATGAATATCATTCAATATAATGTAATATACTATATTATAACTTTATTATTACTGTACATGATATAATATAGTGGACTAGCTAGCAGCTACTTTATGCTTGTTCCACATCTTCGAAAGTTCATGACTTAGCAAATGCAAAACAATGCAAGAGGCCATGTGACTCACCATGTGACTCACCATGTGACTCACCATGTGACTCACCATGTGACTCACCATGTGACTCACCATGTGACTCACCATGTGACTCACCATGTGACTCACCATGTGACTCACGGCCATGGTACGGCAATGTACGGTACCTGGTTGTGTATGGGCGGTCGATGGGTTACGAAGTCCAAATCTTCTCCCGGGATCTGCAGCCGCCGTGGCACATCCGCAGTGCCCGTGGCCAGCGCCACGGCTTTGGCCTCCAGCTGTGGCTGTCAATCTGACGTCTGGGTTTGATATGAATAATTGAAATATGTAATGAACAATAAATGAATATTAATATTATGAATACATATGATTCATATTATGCTACACATGGCTATAGGATGCTATAAGATATGTGCAATCCTGCATCCGGTCCAGATTGTATAATATTATTATATTATTATATACACAATCTACTGGTAGTCTTTGAGGATGACACTGCATATAGTCAAGCAGCACAAGCACCTGGAGCATCTGTTCTTTTTGGCAACACAGGTCAGCAAAGACTCTATGAGAGAGTGGCCACTTCTCTGCGCAATTTCCACAGTTGAAGTGCCATCTTCGTCAACTTGCTCTACATTTGCTCTAGCTTCACACAATGACTGGACGATCTCCAGGAAGCCGTTCCTGTGAAGTCCAGTGGCAGTCGGGGGCTGGCAACGGTCAACAGGATCAACGTACTGAAGAACGCGCACTTTGAAGATCTTTAGGGGAATGATGCATTTTGAGAGACTGGTGCTCAGACAAGCCAGGCTTTCAAATATTGCCCTGCCAAGAATCTGGGCAGCTACAAAGAGTGGCGTCGCGCCATCTTTTCCAGCAAGATTGAGGTCAGAGTTGGCTTCCACTAAAACGCCTCAGTTTGAGTTGGAAATGGTTAGAAGAGCAAGAACAAAATCAACGCAATGATGAAGCTCTTGTTCAGAACAATCAGCAGTGGAACTGTTTAATGGCGACAGGTACGACGCTTTGACACATTTTGAGACTACTCATGAATGATCACAATTGCTGGCTGCTGCCTAGATGCGCACCATTTGAGTTTGAGCACTGAGAGCTGCAATGAATAATGCGCTGGCACCATGATGGCCGACCTTGTTCCTTAGTTGTGCTCTCGACTTTGGCTTACATGGACATTGCATGACATTGTGGGCAATCTCAGGATGTTCGTAATTACGATGTCTAAACATGTCTAAACATGTCTAAACGCGTGACACATACAATGCTGGAGGTACGGCGTCGAGATAAGCCTGAGAGAACTTGCAAAGAAAAACGCAAACACAGGTGTAATATTGGTGTAATATTGGTGTAAAAATTGGTGTACTGTTGGTGTAAGTGTACTTGGCAATCACCTGAGGTCATGTTCCCTCCCTTGCAAGCTTTGACCAGGGAGTCAGATGGGCTCTTCATCGGCAGCTGTGCTGATGAACCTTTCATCAGTCTTGATGTCAGCAAGATGAGCCAAGCAGTGCCTTAAGCAGTGCCAAGCTTCAAATCAGCTCTGCTTTCGGCCAAAAAACTCACGGTCTTCAGCTGCTCGCTTTGAGCTGCGATGATCAGCGGCGTCGCTCCATCCTCCGCAGCTTTGTCCAGGTCAGCCTCCGCCTGCACCAGGCACTTCACGATGTTCAGGTGACCATCTTGAGCTGCGTGGAACCTCGGATGTCATGGCTACAGGGGTTACAGTACTTGATGTACTTGGTTGTACAAAGGCATTGTAGATGTTTGATGATGTTTGTAGATTGTATAGTAAATGGCTGTAAGGTGCGGTCAGAGCTAAAAATCACAACCGATGTGGCAAGCCACGACAAGCCTCGCGCGGTTTCATGCAAACATAAAATGCAGCATGCACCTTCCGTGACCTACAGTTCAAGTGACCCAAAGGGAACAGTAACAACCATGTCTAATTGAACAAACTGATTGCATCTTATTGCTACCAAAAAAAAATCGGTTGGTTTCCGCCCATCCCTCACACTGGAAATCGACATGACTTTCCTTCTCAGCCCTTGCAAATAAGTAGCAAAGGTGTGGTTCCGTGTTTTCCGGATTTGTCTAAATCCTTGGAGGAAGCATTTTCAAGTGCATGCTTCAAGGCGATTGAAGACTTGCAGAGATGTAGAAACGGATTGAAGAAATGTCTCAATGCGTCTCATATCAAGTGTACCAAAATGTACCAAGGCTCTACGTTTGCATCCACCAGAGCTTTGACGGCATCCTGCTGACCCATCTCAACAGCCACCTTTGCTCTGTGAAAGGTGAAAACATGTGGAAACATTGGAAGCTATATGAAGCTATGTCAATCCTTTTCCAAGAAAAACTGCAACAAACATCAAAAAACTTAGAGGACAAAACACAAACTTGTCTTCTTAGCAAATCAAAGGCTGCCAACAAAGGGGTCGCGCCATGCTGGCCATAGGAATCTTTGTCCGCTTTGGCTTCCAGTAAGAATCGCAGCATGTCCACCTAGCTGAGGAAAGGATTGTCTATTTTCCTTTGGCTGTGCAGTGGGCATGAGACAGAACGGGCAGGCATGGGCAGGCTTTTTCGATTTTTTTCGGCAGTTGATTTCAAGCAAGTCTTTGATCCGAAACAAGATGAAACAATCCCAAAAAAAGACTTCGAAGATACTTCAAGGTTTCCTGAAATTTCTGCAAGGGGATAAAGACTGCCATTGCTGAAAAAGACTGGGCCTGGCCGTACTTGGCAGCAATGAACAAAGGGCTGGCACCATGAAGGTCTGTTCGATCTTTGTCTGCACCTCCGAAAATGGCAACATGAAAAGGCTTCTGTTTTCATCTGTTTTCCATCTCTTTCATCTGTATGTGGATTTTTTGATTTCTCGATCAATCTTGTGCATTGAAACGTTAAATCACCCAACAAATGATGTGTGCCGATCGTGCGACCACCATCGCTGCAGTCCCTTTGTTGATGCAGTGTCATACGCAAACGAAGGCTTCTGAAAGGGGGAAACCCCAAAACATCCCAAAACCATAGGATCCATAGGTTTCAATACTTAAAATAGTCTAATTCTTGATGATTTGGGGTACCCCCATTTTAGGAAACCTCCAAATATACACAACTGTCAACTAGGACTAGTTAGTACTGTGATATACTAAGAAAATGCACTAAGCATGGACATTCATGGAGAGTCCACTGCGTGGGATGTCAAGTCAAGGGTTATCAAGGGCTATCAAGGGCTATCAAGGGCTCAAAAAAGTCTGTTCAAATGCAAATTTGTACAGCAGCTTGAGTGTGTCCCAGTGTCCCCAGCGAATTCAGCTGCAAGGCTTCACAAGTTTTCATCAGTAGGGTGGGTAATTTCTGGCCTGCTCCAACCAAAAGTTTCGCAGCCGCAAGTCGGTCATATTTGGCCGCGACAAACAAAGGTGTAGATCCGTTTGGGCCAGCCTTGTCCTGGGAGGAGTTCGTCAGTTGGACTAGTACACTGAGAAAGGGAAATGGACCGAGAAAATTATATTCAAACTGTTGTCCCCTGATGTCCCGGGTAATTCGCAAATTGGTGTACTGTGCCTGTGCTTTCTGAGCTATCCACTTGTCCAAATTCCCCTAAATCGCAACTTGGTATACCTATCACAAAAAATGCTCTAGAGTCTCTAGAGTTCAACAGAACATCACCGCGCAAATGAACACGCACCAAAGCAACAACATCCACAAACAAGGTGTATAACTTGCTAAGATCTGTCAAGCGTCCACGTCAGCTCGTGCTTCCAACAGAAGCCTCACTAGCTCTGACTGCCCGTGCTTTGCTGCAGTATACAAAGGCGTGGATCCCATACTCTGTGCGTCTATGAAGGCCTTTTCTTGGAGCAGTAGACGCACTTCCTGGCAGGAGTTGGCTTGTGGTCAACAATATCTCGACTTTCAAAGTGGACCCTCGTTGCTTTAGCCAAAAGACATGACATATCATGACAGTGAATGACATTGATACATATTGTGATTACTTTTATCAAAATTTGACACTGTGCACAAACAGGATGCAACACTAATGATCCAGGCAGTTCATTCTTTGATGAATCCAGCCTGAAGATGTTAATTTGTGCTTTAAAAAACAGCAAACCCTCTTGGCTGCCCCAAAGCCTCCAAGGACCCATTCAGAGTTGCGACGGTCAAGGGAGTCATGCCGTCCAATGCCTTGTAACCCAACGCCCCACAACGACGTGGAATGTCCTGGTTTCCGTCTCCGTTACACAGTTCAAGTAATTCAAGTGCTACAACTGATAGTGCTTTGAAATGGTAGCATTGGTAGCAAGGGAATCTGTGGTCTTATGTGTTTCTACCACCTGGCGTAGTGTTGCTTGAAATTGGTGCAGTCACTTGCTCTAGAACTGCAGAAAGAAGAAGAAGAAGTCACTATTGGATGTGTTTGTATGTATAATATAATAGTATTATAACAATATTGCAATATAATATGTATATAATATGTATATAATATGTATATATAATATGTATGTAATATGTATATAATATGTATATAATATGTATATAATATGTATACAATATGTATGTAATATGTATATAATATGCATATAACCGAAGGAAGTTTAGAAGTCAAACTTCCGACAATATGGACAGATGAAAAGCAGAGATGGAAAGGGTCAGAGAGAAGAGAAAAATTAGAAGAGAGAAGAGTAGAAGAGAAAGAAACAAAAGAAAGAAGATGCAGATGCGCGAAAAGGTAGGAAAGTCGCGAAACACTGTGTTTTTCCAATGATTTGTGGCTCCGCAGGGTCGAAAAGTAGGCTCGCTAAAGTGGCGGGTTCGGAGCCATCTGGCCAGATGAGAGATGAAAAGTTGCACGCCGTTGTGGCGCAAAGCACATTCCCAAGTCAAACACACCACGTTCGGACCACTTTTGGAAGTTGAGATGTCGAAAAAGTGCACGCCGTTGTGGCGCGAAGCACATTTCCAAGTCAAAATTTACAAAACACACCATTCTCGGACCACTTTTGGAAGTTGAGATGTCGAAAAAGTGCACGCGAAGCACATTTCCAAGTCAAAATGTACAAAACACACCAGGTTCGGACCACTTTGGGCAGTTGAGATGTCGAAAAAGTGCACGCCGTTGTGGCGCGAAGCACATTTCGAAGTCAAAATGTACAAAACACACCAGGTTTGGACCACTTTGGGAGGTTCAGATGTCGAAAAAGTGCACGCCGTTGTGGCGCGAAGCACATTTCGAAGTCAAAATGTTAAAAACACCAGCGGTTCGGACCATTTTTGGAGGTTCAGATATCGAAAAAGTGCACGCCGTTGTGGCGCGAAGCACATTTCGAAGTCAAAATGTTAAAAACACCAGGGGTTCGGACCACTTTTGGAGGTTCAGATGTCGCTTCGCTTCACTACACTACACTACACTACATTTTACTACATTACACTACACTACACTCCACTACACTACAATACATTACACAACACTACAACTACAACTACACAACTACACTCCACTACACTCCACTACACTCCACTACACTAAATTACAATACACTACACTACATTACACTACACTACACTCCTCTACACTACACTACACTACATTACACTACACTACACTACCTTCCACTACACTTCACTACATTACACTACACTACACTCCACTACGCTACAACTACAACTACAACTACAACTACAACTACACTCGACTACACTAAGTTACACTACACTACACTACATTACACTACACTCCACTACACTACACTACCTTCCACTAGACTTCACTACGTTGCACTACACTACACTCCACCACACTACAACTACAACTGCAACTGCACAACTACACTCCGCTACACTCCACTACACTCCACTACACTCCACTACACTAAATTACACTACACTACATTACACTACACTACACTCCACTACACTACATTACACTACACTACCTTCCACTACACTTCACTACATTACACTACACTCCACTACACTACAACTACAACTACGACTACACAACTACACTCCACTACACTCCACTACACTAAATTACACTACATTCCACTACACTCCACTACACTACACCACACTACATTACACTGAATGACACTGCACCACTGATAGGCAGGTAGACAGATAGACAGATAGATAGATAGACAGATAGATAGATAGACAGATAGACAGGTAGACAGCTAGACAGATAGTCAGATGAAAGAGAGAGAGAGAGAGATATAGATAGATAGATAGGTAGATAGATAGATGGATAGATAGATAGGTAGATAGATAGATAGATAGGTGATTAGGTGAAAGAGAGAGAGAGAGAGATAGATCGATAGATAGATAGATAGATGGATAGATAGATAGGTAGGTAGATAGTCAGAGAAAGAGAGAGAAAGAGAGGAGACCTCAAGCACCTTTCGGTCCATCAGTGGATTCGCCCTGCCATCCCTGATTCACAACAACCAACCTCTCCTATAGGTTTCCTATTTTTGAAACTTCCGCCACCGCCTTGTGCGGTACTACTGGTATGTATATAATATGTATATAATATGTATATAAGATGTATATAAGATGATGTAGATAAGATGTATATAAGATGTATAAGTATGTAATATGTATATAATACTGTATCATAAAAATCATTATATATATAATTGTATGTATCCGCCATGCCATGTGACCGCCAGCGCAGTGTTAGCTCCAGCTTGCACCAAATAGCGGAAGATGCACCACCTCAGCGAAAGGAATCCCTCCGGCTTTGAGGCAACATGCCCATAGCCAAACGTCCTTTGATTCTTCGTACGATCCCAAGACAAATGGAACGACATGAAGACAAACAGCTTTGCAACCAATGCCGGGGTATGTGATGATTGTGAACCCTACTCCTACTGTGTTCGGAATTCAGGAACAGCAGGTTGAAGTACAAATGTGTAAGGTATTGAAAGTGCACTTGATCCAAATTTTAAAGTATGTTTCATTCCAAAAGGTTTCATGCGATACAACTGCAAACCCTTCGTCGCAGCACTCAATCCGAAGTACGTTTAGCAGATTGAGCTAGTGTTCTGGTTCTTTTATTGGGCCTAACAAGTGACAGAAGAAGTATATAGCGACTTTGCTGTGTGCAGAGGCGCTGGTTGTTTTGAGCAGATATTAGCAGCGGTGTGAGGCCGTCATCTGCCGCTTGGTCTTTGTTTGCACCTGCTGACCTCAAAAAGTGCAGCACAAGTTCATGAGCTGAAACAAACGTCTTTCTTCTTCGAGTTTCTTTTGGCTGCCTGCAACAAGGCCAAATAAGTATCAAAATCATCGCGACTCTGCCTGAAGAAATATAAACTAGCAAAAACTTCTGAATTGCCTCAGTGTTTGTAGCAAACAATCACACAATCCTAGAATTGAGTGCTGCAAACCATGAAATGCATGACAGAATTTAGAAATGGTGGCCCAATGTGGCCCATATGTAGTTGTCTATCGACTTATGTCAGATGCTTCGTCGGACTTCGCCTTAAACAACGATTACCATGAAAAGGCCAGCTCGGCAGGCGTGGAGGCGCAGAATCAATTGGCCCAAGGTAGGAATTCACAAGAGCCACATACATATCTTCCAAGTGATTCCAAGTGCTTTCAAGTTGCACCAAACAGCGCACCATCTCCAAATATCCATACCTTTGCTGTCAGAGATAGCTGGGCACCTCTTCGAGCCATGCCCAGCAGATCCGCAGATCTTATTGTGATGCAAGAGAATCTTGGCCGCGATCTATTTACCAAATATCCAGCAATATCCAGCAATATCCAGCAATATCCAGCAATATCCAGCAATATCCAGCAATATCCAGCAATATCCAGCTATACACGATTCCCTGCTCAGAATCTCGCAATGCAATGTCCTCTGCAAGCCCCCATAGAGAATTCAATTCTTTATGTAGTATGATGAGGGACCATGTGCTCATAAGCGGCAAGGTCAACAGCTTTGCATGACACAATCTAGATCGCTCTACCACGGGCGCAAACATGATGCAAGACTCACTCCAAATCACTCCAAAGTACCAAGACTGTACCCCACCAAAACTGAATCGTGCAGAAAGGCAGCAAGCAGAACAAGTAAGCCAGCATCTTGGCTCCGTACGACAACTAAACGAGGTATATATATTATATATTACAGACACGTAAAGAATCATTCTACAGTAATATATTGTAATGTTCAACAATTGAACATTGTGAAGCAATGATACCGACAAATTCTGCCCATCATGTTTATTCTACTGGACCTTCAACCTTCCCCCGTCAGGTGTGAAGGGCACTGCGCAGCCACGAACAATGGCGCCTCCCCATGGGCTGCCGCAGAGTTAAAGTCCTTGCTGCAACTGGAACGACCCGAACCCCAAATCCAAAGTGAAGTTTGAAGGCTTATATAAACAGAAGCAACTTCCAGTATTTCACAATTTGGAAATCTTTGGAGTTTACACATCTTTGAACACCAAACTATGTAAAGCAGCAAATACAAGCAAATACTGGAAACCAGGATAAAATAAAAGCATCATAAAGGATCATATAAAAAGCATTAAAAATCAATGTGATTTCAAATCATTTTGTCGCTTGAGCTCCGCATTGGCTGCCAGCAATTGCATGAGGCAAGGGAGTTGCCCACCCCGAGCTGCCAAGAAGAGGGGAGTGGCGCTGTCTTTGCCTGGCAGAATTGAAATGAATGGAACATCCTGTGGGGCACTTGCAAAGTTAGCGAACAACCTTGGTAAGACGCGGAATGTTCAGGATATTTTAGGATAGCTGCCTTATCATGTTGCAATCTCATTTAGTCTCAATATTTGTTGGGTACAAGTCCAGTGGTTTGACAACTTGTACATGTGGTTCGCCAGCAGAAACGATATAGTTCATGGACACAACCCCCAGGTTGTGAAAGCTTGTGATCGCTTGTGATAGCTCTTGAGCCGTTGATGCACTACGATTCAACAAGCCATGCATATCTGGCTGGACCAACAGGCACGACTGAGGAGAATTCTGTGCCTGCGATATTTACATTGGCAGCAGCGTCGGTCAAATAGCGAAGCACCTGGCGGCTTGGCTCGGTCACTTGGGCACCAACAATTCCCGGTGGAGAGGCTCAATATGGCTAAATGCGGCTTAATATGGCTTGATATGGCTTGATATGGCTTCGTTTGATATCAAACATACTGACCTGAGCTGTTCCAGAACATTCAACACTCCTCTGATGTGACAAAAGGAGATGCAGTTTGAAGTGTCAAGTATATCATATACTAGTAGTATTTAATATTATTTAATAGTATACCACTTGAGGTGATTAAAAAAAAAACGTTTAAATTTGTTTATGCCGCTTTCACCTTATCGTTTTTTTTCTTCCTTATCGTTTTGCAGGCTATCTGCGCTTATCACAATCAAAGAGGTTTGTGCACATGCGGCCGCCATCCAAAAAATCATTCGTTCAGCTTCCATTGACCTCGGGCATTCATACCTTTGCTGCAAAAACGCTTCTTGGAGCAAACTCACCGTAGCCACATGTAGCCACAACGTGTTTAGAATTTTTTTAAATGTCTTTAGGTTGGCTGGTTGTCTCCAACGCTGGGGTTGGCATAGGCTGGCTAGTTGATTCAGTCGCTTTGGCTAGCTGGCTGGCTAGCTGAGTTTGTTGTGGTGGCTGGCTGGCTGGCCGGCTGGCTAGTGGATTCTTGGCTGCTTCTGACTTGCTGGCTGAGAGCGCCGGGATCCGGTTTGTTCGTTCAATGAAAGCTGCATAAAAATTTCCAACCAATAATCTGTTCAATTATCAGCGCAGGGAGTCTTATAGTATATGGATTCGTCTGGGGAGAACCTCCATGGCAAGGTAATCAATGGGCCATGGTGTTTGAAGATGGCTTTCGGGTTAATTTTGTTATCGTTTTTGTTATCGTTTTGTTATCGTTTTGTGTCACGTAAATTCTCCCCATTTGTGGGAGACACTTACACTTGGTCTTCTCAAAAAGGATGGAGGAGCATCAGCAGCTGCATTCGAACTTCCGGAAGTTACTCTACGCAGCGCGCTCCGCTAGCCAACTTAACCCGCGCCATATGTATATACATATATATGTATATATATATATATATATGTTGACACATATATTCATATACATACATATGTATACATATATATATACACACATGCATGTATATATATATATATATGTATATATATTATGTATATATAATACTTAGCGTTATCGTTTTTTCTTCCTTATCGTTTTACGGTGAATGGACTATACCCGGTACAAGAAGGCAACCTGCAATACTAAAACTAATTGACGTTGTTTTTTTTAAATTTCCTCACTTTAAAAATGAACATACGTTACGATTGTTGCAGAAAACTTGGTCTAGAATGGTCCAGACTCCAACCAATATAATATAATTAGGTTGAGCGAGGTTGAAGTGTGGCCTCCGCATGCCCAAGTTGCGCAGCAGCATGCAGCGGTGTCAGCTCTTCATCAGACATTGGGTTCACATCCTCAGCAATGCATGGTGCATCCTTCAGAACTGTACAGAATGGGACAAATTTTCGAGCCTCGACTCAAAATATCTTCTGCCAAACCTACCACATGGGTTCTGATCATGTCATGGACACCAAGCAAAATGCATCTCACAACCCCAGAAGGCCTAGGCCTGCCTAGGCCACAGAAGACCCCCGGAACCAAGTGGCTGCCCGCTCTTCCAGCAATCGATGTGCTACCTCTGCATGGCCATGCTTAGCAGCCGCATGTAGTGGGCACTGCCCAAGGGAATCCTCAATTCTTCCGCTTCTCCAGTTCCAGAAGCCCAGCATCAGAAAAAATCCGACACGTCAGAGAATTATCAAGTTCTGCAAAACGCAGAAGCATACCATAAAATGGGTTGAGAGAGACAGAGAGAGCACCATCAGTCATCTATCACGAGAAAGTTCATGTCTGTGTCTTCCATCTATATATATTATATATATACCCGGATCCCCCTGCAGACTAGAAATTTGGTCTGAAGTGATTCAGTCTACTAATCAGACTGATTCCAGAAATCTCGCCCGAGCTGAAAATTCTCGCCTGAAGTGGTTTTTCTCAATTTTCATCAAAACATTCAACAACATATATTAATGATAAGAAGAAATAAGACATGAGAGCTTCAGGTTTTTGCCGGTTACATAAGGCATACCGGTATACTCCTACCCAAGGAACGCTTCATGAAATGGGGCCACCACCCCCACAAATTCCCTAAAGTGAATGGACCATCATGAATTTCCACATTGTGGCGGTTGAAAAAAGGGAATAATCACATTCCCACTATCTCACCAAAAATCGTTCCCAAAATGTTTGAATTTGTCAACCGTGTTTTTTTTAATGATCCTCGGGAATTCTTGCCTGAATGCCGGGAATTCTTGCCTGAATGCCGGGTATTCTTGCCCGATTTTTTTGCAAAAAAAAAACGCATAAAATGTCACAATGTGCTTGAAATTTTCGAACATGTTCAAAATCAAAATTAATTTTGAAAACATCACAATTCATTTGGGTCGCCCCAGACAGATCCCACCAAACATGTTCAGGGCTTTGAGCCCCAGCACCTGGGCACATTCTCAGGTCAGCACATGTCCCAACTTTTACAGTACCCTTCCAATTTTTAACCGCATTCAATCTGAAGCAGGAGTTATCAGGTGAAAATAATCATGAATTGAATTCGTGCCTGCAAATAAGCTACAGGAATTCTCGCCTGAATTGGATTTCTCGCCTGCAGTCTATTTATCTGTCCGATTGTGAAAAAGTCTACTTTCTCTGTTCAGCCCAAAATATCAGCCTGAATGGTGATCTAGGTATATATACACCATTATATATAATTATATATATACTATTCTATAGATCATATAGATCATACAATATCATAGAAATCATGATTTTGATAGAAAAGGTTGTACAATACAACAAACATGGGCAAAGTCAGTAGCAATGGAGCGATAAGCAGCTGTCTTCTCAAAGTCGGCACAACCTTCGCCTGGGCAGAAACCCCAAGATGGTCCGGATAAATGTTTTGCCATGTGCAGCTGCAGCTTTCTCATGATGTTTTTACACGAAAAGAAGAAATAAAACATTCATAAACATTCCAAACATTCGAAACATTCGTCAGTCACTGAGTACTCTGTTTACTTGATTCCACCAGAGGAAAAACACCATTACAAACCACTGCTTTCAAGCGGCGCAGCACATTCAACACTGCAACATGATTTCCTTCAGCCGCCTTCCAACTTGCGGTTTGTCCCTGGCGAGGCTTCTACAAAGCATTCTCTGGAAATGACAAATTGGGATTATAGGCTTTGCCACAGAGTGCCAACCTGTGCTGAAGAAATCTGAAGAACACAGGAGCTGTGGTTAAAAGACCTACAGAAGTTGCTTCAAGTTCCAAATCTCACAATGACTCATAATCCATGATTTTTTTGTTTTCACATGATGTGTTGCAGCACTATTCCGTGTGTTCTCGCAGTTGCACCTGGGCATTACTGACATCCGGGCACTGGAAGCATTTGAGGTAGCCCTTGGCTCCGCCACTTTGAGTGAAGCATAGCCGGCGGGGAACTAATTCCAATGCAGTATCCCACTAATCCCACTAAGCACACTGTCTTGGGCTTAACACGGCCCAACCAACTGGTCCTTGTGATTCCTGGAAGAAGTGCATGATATAACATGATATAACTACAGTATGTTCGCAGTACATAAATAAACGCATATTGGCATCGCCTCAGATTGACTGAAACTTTTCACTGCGTCACCAAACCATCCGTTTACCAAAATCATCGTCATAACGTCAGCAACTATTCTCCCTTTCTCTACAATGCTGGACGAGATGCTACGACCACTTCTGCCAGACCAACAGCTGCCTATAGTTTGAATCCACGTAGCATTCGCGGCAGCATTGTCTGTGGATGTCTGTATCGTCTTTGCTGAAAAAACGAGACTCAAATGGGGCTCATATGATTGTAGGTGTGACTATCTGAAATGGTCCACAAAAAATCGGCCGCATCACTGATACTAAGTATCTGATTCAGCAGATTCTCAAAGAATCTTAAAATAACTATATCAATAGTATTCAATAGTATCGCAAATTTACGGACAACAACAGGGAGCATTCCGGGAGCATAGTCAGGTTCTTCAGACCCACCGAGCTTAACTGAGGTTGCAACTGCAGCTATAAACTGATCTGTGTAGTCCTCGACGTAGTCAGTTAGAATGAGCTGAAGCTCCTGTGGAGGGCAAAGGCTTGTAAACCTAAAAGAACAGCAAGTCCTAAATGGATTGTCACCGTTAACACTGGCTACATTCAGCATGCCATTGCCAAACAGGTGTGCAGCATGGTTTACAGTACATGTAGCACATGTCCAAATGGTTTGGCACTTTGGCCAATCCCAAACTTGCCAAAGCTACCGGAAAAAAGGTCTTGGTGTAGGTCATCCACTGAGTGGATCTAAGTCCTGAAGTTGTGCAACATCTTCCCAGGTGTCTGCCTTGGATCCACCGTGTGCGGAGCGTACGGTATGTCTCCACGGCCTGAAATTCAGTATCCATCAGTATCCTCCCCGTCCTCCCCGTCCTCCCCCCTGCAATTTTCCGGAGAATGGCGAAGATGGCGTAGATTGTTTCATCATGTTTCACCATGTTTCACTGCTTGTAAATCTACCTGGGACTGTCATCCTTCTGGCAGAATTGCAAAATTGAAGCAAATTCATAAGAGTTGATGGATTAATATGGATTAATATGGATTAATATGGATTAATTGGATTATACATAGCTGATGATATCTGAAGATGCTCCTTAGATGCACCCAGGGAGGCCCGCCAACACAGCACTTTGGATTACCCTAATAGCAGGACAAAGAGGCTTCAGAGAGGAAGCGCTCCTCCAAAAGCAACTGCTGCCTCAACACGGTGTTAGAAACTTGTTAGACTTGGATCTGAGATGATCTGAGCAGCTGCCATGGCTGCCATCAAAGACTTTGATCACGACTTTACCCGCTGGGCCCATGAAAATTGTGGACTCACAGGACCAGTTCAGAAATCCGAGAAGCAAATTTGTGAAGCGTGGAAAGATTGAAAAGACATGAAAAGACTGAATGTGTCAAAATGTATCAAAGATTGTCAAAGTACTTTCATGCTAGGCCGCAAAGTTTCGGGCCCAATGCTGCCTCCCTTCCTCTTGTTTCAGTCCAAGGCCAATGGAGGAACAGATGAAGAACAGTATGGAACAGTTCAAATCCGGAACTTGCTGGGTATTTTCAGACACCATCTGGCTTTCCCCTCGGAACAAATATGAACAAATGATCGAACTTCGCAAATCTGAAAGTAACATGTCCCAAACTATCACAAACTTATATTCTTGCATTATCATGTTGTCTCAAAAATCTCAAAGGAAAGTGAAACAATGTGAAACGCCCTGTCCATCCCTGTCCCATCTGCCTGTAGATCGAAATCTGTCGATCGCTGCGAATGCGTTGCTTGATGACACTCACAGCTGCTTCGTGGGGCTGAGCAGAACGCAGCTCGTCGATGTTGAGCTGAAGGACATGGTCGCCACTCAAAGACACCACACTCAGCATGCTGGAAGCGGCACGCTAAACACAGCGTACAAACATCTCAACAAACTAAGCCAGGACCATGATGTGACAGGACATGCCAAGGAAAAAGTCAAGCACTCATAAGCACTCTAGATTGTAAGCTCGTGGCTGGCTAGATCAATACATGGTGTCAGAGAGACAGCACGATCTCTGGTCTTGGACCTTTCTCTGTGTTTTCTGTGGCTTTACATGTCTTTTGTGTCGATGGGCTTTGGAGCTTTGCCAGAAGCCCTGCGGTCAGACTTGGAAAGCTGCGGGCATGCCCAGATTGGAGGCAAGCGAAGGGAAAATCAAGGCCTTGTAAATACAAGAGGTGTTTTTCGAAAAAAAGAAGGCAAATTCAGGACGTGGAGGACTCCACCAAGGAGATTCAAAGTTCAATCCGATCAAGTGCTCTTTTACTAACGACACTTAAAGTTGAGATTTCTCGTGGAAGCCAGCCAAGGAGAAATTCCACAAAATTTGGCCGTTTGGATCTTATTTAGCAACAGTTCGGGCTTTCGAGCAGACTATGCACCGGCAACTTCGTCGTTTGCACATGGCACTAGGTTTCAATTACATTCAATTCACAGCTTCGGCCGTGTCCCCCATAGCTCCAGAGTTTCATCACCTCGCCAACTTTTCATCGCAACTTCTGCCATTCTAGCCTCTATGGCGGCAAGAAACTACGCAATCTTTGACCGGACGAATGTGGGTCAAGTTGTGTCAATCCATGTCAATCCTGTCATTCCCGTGCAACTCTGTTTGATGGCTTGATTCATCTTGATTCCAGATCATCTGGCACCAAATTCTCAAAGATAATGGATGATGATGGTATAGACAGCATTGACACACAAAAAGACTCCAGTATGCCCCCCCCCCACTCTACGCCCCTATTGGCATCGCAGAGGGTCAAGGCCGCAGCAAGAAAATGTGCAAGATTTCTGGCAGGACCAACGTGTACAGGTCAAGTCAGACCAGGTTCAAATCTGCACTATACATCACTATACAACAAATATCTTGATTCGTGTCCTGCCAGTCGCTAATTGCTGCCCGGAGTAGAACGACATTGTTGGCGACAGAGGATTTCCGGGCATTTCCAGGCCATACTTGCCAGGTACAACACAAAGAAATTTGTGTCGTAGCCTTTTGGCAAATGGAACTATAGACAGACCACATTGCAAACATCATCAAACTTCCAACTCTTGGCCCCTTGTGGCTGAGTCAAGTTGAAAGGTTGAGAACTTGATCCATGAAACACATGGGCAACGAAGGACCTCAATCAATTTGCTTCAGGTCTGTCTTTTTGGCTTGGCCCAAGCGGCCCAAGGTACAAGTAATTTTCCAGCCCTTGGATGTCAGCCGGACAGAAAAGATCCGTCACCTCTAGAGTCTAGCTGTCTAGCTACATAGGATTGGTAGACAATGGTCTTTCCAGACTTCGCGGAGAGATTTCCCGATCTTCACCCCTTTCGCGCGTGAAATCGGCTGAAGACTGGGAGAAATGAGGTGCTCTCCAAGCTTCTCTAGGCGTATTGAACCTTTTGAAATGTTTAGTATTGTGAATAGAATTGAATATATTATATTGGTCATGTCAGTCATGTCTCTAACATGCTCTATCATTCTGCCACTTGTGAAGCCATGGAGGTAAACAACACCTTCTGCCTCTGGGACTGAACGACCATTGACGACTCACTTCCAACCAAATCTATTGGCAAAGCCTGAGCAAAGCTCATGGTCGGTCCCAGATTCCTAGGATTGTCCCTTGTTCAACTGGATCACATCGTCTGAACCGGCTCTTACGTATCTTACTGTTTTGTATCCCAAATCTACAATATATGAGTCTAATTGAGTCTATATGTCTCTCTTGTTCTCTCTTATTGTTGTTGACTCCCTCCCACCTCCGCCGGCATATACAGGTTATTTCACACTATATTTATATTCACAATGTTGCAGCTTGTGTCCCATGATGGACCGGGAGAGTCATTGAAGGATCATTCCGAGAGCGGGAGCAGGATTCTTGGATTTCATAAAGGAATTGAAACCTAAACAAAATCATTGAACCAACAAAAATCGGACTGCTCCCTGTTGAATCAAGGAAAAAGGTGACATCTGTGCCAAAGCATATTTCCGGCCTGAGATCTTCGATCAGAAACAACGTCACAATGCATAATTTGGTTATGTCGCCTGCTATGCAAGTTAATTCCTGTAATTAACTTGGTCGGGGAGTCGGGGCAACAGAATTAATAACCCGGATGATGGATGGATCAACCGAAAATCGTGAACAAGTTTGCAGCGATGGCCGGATTTTGGGCCTCATTGGCCCTGCGGCACACAATGGCCTTAGCATCCAGGGACGAGTCCAAGCGGATCCAATGAGGAGTCCATGGTGCACTTTAGAACAAAGAAACGGAATGGCTGAAGTGCAAGATGTGAAATCAGTCAGCTGCAGAGCCAACCTGGACAAACAAAACACCAGCAGCTGTCAAACCCTGTGAAACACATCTGCTGAATTCTCTGAGCCCCCAGCAGAATTTGCACCTTTTGCGCGTGCACTTGCCCTGTCAATAACATTGACAGGCTGAAGCAGTGTCTCTTTGGCATGTCTGTATTCCAATCAACCAAAATCCAAGCCGCAGATTCTCTGCCTCCAGGTAACTCTTGCATCTGCCGAACCCGCAAAACTTCGAAGTCCGGCACAGCTGGCCGATGGCCACATATGGACATTCCTGGCAGATCTTAAGACTCAAGACACTCAGCCTGGAAGCGGACAAATTGCCACAGACCTCCAAGATCCAACAAGTCTCTGAGTTATTCAATGTGAAACATGATCATCAAAGAACACCTTAAGACTTAAGATACATCAGGCTTTTCCAATCTCCAAATGCCACATGATCCAACACAAACCGTGCACACCTCCATGCCAGGGCGGAACTTGGGAGCATTGGTGTTCAAGTTGTCCCGCGCCGGGCCGCAGCGGGCCCTGAGCAATTCGGAGTCTGGGCTAGGGACCGACTCAACTACAGAAACGGCAGCTGCTGTCTCAGCCTTTGGGGCTTCCAAGTTCTCCGTCTTAACTTCGCCAGCCTCCGGAGTCTGCTGGTAGTCCACGTGTTCCAAGGCTTGTTCATCGACCTCTTCCGCCACTTCGGCTGCTTCTTCCGCCGGTTCTTCAGCCGTCTGGTCCGCCACAAGTGGCTCCAGGGCCAGCAGCAACTGCTGGTGCTGCTGGTGCTGAGCGCGCAATGATTCACGCTGCGCAACGAAATTCACCGCCCGCTCGATCTCAGGAGGCAGAAGCTGCGGCTCAGCGATTGGGCAGCCACTTGCTTCCCAGAGGCGCTGTGACTGATCAAAGGTTCCCAAGTTAGTTGGGGTGTCTTCACCGCCTCTCTGAACTGCCTTCTGCTGAAGCACTGCTTGCAGTGGCCCATCCCATAGCTGACAAGGTGGGCCATGCACTGCATAGTACTGCTTAGTTTCCTCAGCGTTTCCAAACAGAGTTGGAGTCACCCAACCGGAAGTGGCTGGACTCTCAGCATCCATGCCATCCATGCCATCCATGCGATCCATGCTTAACTCCTTCAGAAAGGTCTCTGGCATCTCCACCTGCCCTGGTGCCGCGAAGAAAGGGGTGGAAGTGGGGCAGGACTGAGACTTCGACATAGCACAGAATTGGATGGGTGGAGAGCGGTGCCGGGTGTCGCGCTCGTGAAATCAACGGTTCTTGGTGTCGTTGGTCGAACCACTATGGGCTCACAAGGTCCGGCTGCAGTTAATCCAGCAGAAAAAAAACAGGCAATTCATGGCAATTCCACTGATTTGCTTCGATCGATTACATCTTTGACTTCAAAAATTGATTCCAATTTGTTGACATAGAAACCCAGACATCACATGATAGGTGATTGCTGTCTTCCAATTCGAACAATCAAGAGCTCAGCTCAAAACGCATGGTTCCATAACTATCCATAACTATTAAATCTCCTTGAAGATGCATGTAGAAGCACGTCAAAGCATGTCGCAGCATGTCGACGCAGGCTGCTCCCCAATCAACTCCTAGTCAACACCCGGCAGCCCCCAGCACGCCTTGACCGTTTTGCAGTGATCTGCTTCCTGGACATTTTCGAACAAAGAAGGCCTTTATAAACTTTAGACACGAACGCTGCTCTCTGCTAAGCTTTGCAAGTCTCGAGGCACAGGAGAGAGAGATAGAGATGGGGAGAGATAGTGAAAGGTTGTATACACAGGTGTCACAGGTGTGCTCTTCAGAGTCATCAGCAGTCTAAGTATTCTTCGCCTAAAGAGCAGACTTAGAATTGAAATTTGGAACGACTGCTGCATTTCCAGCTGCTGGTTGTGATGCTAGAAAGCGACTCTTTCTCGCATGTTCTTGCATGATCTCACATGTGTGTGCTATCATGCCGCATCCGATCACATCCGAGTCCTCCCCAGGCATAGAAATCCTCGAGGCGTAAGGCACGCTTGCGACTTTCTGAGATGTTCTGCACATTCTGCACAAGGTAAGATGCTCTGTAAATAGAGACACAAGTATTGATTGAAAAGCTCCAGTTGGACTCTAAAACGCGAGCCACTTGAAAATACTGTTCAAACATGTTCAAACAGGCACATCAGGCACTATTTTGATATATTTTGATCTATTTTGTCTGATTGACAGCTGGAATTGGCTTTAATCTTCATGATCCTGGCACAGGGAACACATGAATCAACATTTCTAGCCCTGGAAGCGCTTGAGTCAAACATTGCTACAGGGAGGACCAGGGAGGAGAGAGGCAAAGCCAGCCAACGCAACCCATCGACATGTTTAGCTCGCCAAAATCGGAGTGGTAGGTCTGATATATTGCACCAAATTTTGCAATGGAGCAATGGAGTACAGAGAAGTGTCATGACCAAACGAGCGATAGTGGTTTGGAGAAGGATACTGAATTATGAAGGACTTCTCAGGAAGAGAAAAGCAAGAAGGCAAAAAAAACAAAAAAAACATTTCTTTTGGAGGCCCAGCAATTGCATAGATCATCAGATCGCCAAGCGTCTGCAGCTTCCAATGCCCATCCTCGTCCTCTTCCATGGACTGTACCGTCCCTGACAAGAATTCAGTGGAAGTCAGGCGTTGAGCATAAGCACTGTAGTATTCCTCAGGTTGGCTGCCAATGATCTGATCTGCTGAGACGACAAAGTCTCTATCCCAAGAAGCAGTTATGCATAGTTATGCTATATCATGTTATTTCATTCTTGTTCACTCTTGTTCAGAAGTTCAATCTTTTTGAATTTTCATCACTTGATATCACTTGTTCATAGACTTTAGCTGTGGCTTCCGCGGTGAATCGTGCGGACGGAATATTGGGAAACTTGGCGGAATCTATGTGTTATTCGACTTCAATAGCTTTGGAATGACCTAGCCACTCCCACCGCCAAAGGGCGTGGCTTCTCTTTCACAAGTCCCTGAAACTTTGCAGAACAGAGTTTCAATTTTTCAATAGTTTGGGAGTGGCTCGCAATGGATATTCTAATCACAAAACGACTGCATGTATCGTACAAACAGCTGATAAAAACTTGATAAAATCAGATAAAAATGATCATCGGATTCCAACTGTGGGAGTTCAGCTGCAGCTGACCTCTCCAACTTCCCTCATGCAGTCGAAGCACTGCCACCAACCAACGTGGCACGCGTGCTGCTGCCAACGCCTCTGCACTGCCGTAGTAGTGCTGCAGATCATGAGCCTGTGCTCAAAGGGATGCACCAGCCTCGTTTAGTCCCTTACCTGTAATTGACCTTCTTCTTCGACGATTTTGGCAAGAATCAGGAACAAAATGTGTACACAAACAAACTCAACAAACAACTGGGACTGGCTGATAACGAATGAATGATAGTGAATAAACGATAATAAACGGGTCTCAGGATGAGTCTGGGCACTGATGACGAGTAATCTGATCCCCAGTCTGACCCAGTCTCCTCTTCGGACGCCAAACCACTCGAGCGGAGGTGATCAGTCAAAGTGTGACCTGTGCTGAGGCCAATATACGGCCAAGATCAAGAGCTGAAACGATCTGAGACGCAAAGATGACATAAGATGACGACATGGCCAACATTGGCCAACATTGGCCAATATTGGCCAACATGGTGAGATTTGGAGGTCGTCATCAACCGTAAGTCAAGTCCATGAGTCCATATCCTAAGTTTTTCCCAAAAGCATCTTCGATGCTTGGGTTCTCGTTTAGTTGTTTAACCGCGTGGGGGAGCGACCTGGCTCGAACGGTGGTGTGCGGACGGCGTGGGTGCAAGGGAAAGGAAAGGAAAGGAAAGGAAAGGAAGGGAAAGGAAAGGAAAGGAAGGGAAAGGAATGGAAAGGAAGGGAAAGGAG